CGTTACCTACTTTAGAGTTAGGTGTGTTAGTGTCACGGCAGCGCAGCAGAGAGATTCCTGGTAGTTATCAGTTACAGTAGAAGCTTGCTATTGCTGTGAGTTTTTCTTTTTTTGCTTTTCCCACCATGAAATGTACATCTGCAGATGCTGATCATTGCCCTGAGCAGTGTGGGGAAGATGACTGTGGTGCTCCCAATGGGTGTTCCAGTAGCATAGTTCACGAGCTAAACTGAGGAGGTGGCCAGGTCCAGAGGTCCAGCAGCAGTTTGCTGTATTTGAAGCGTGCCGCTTTGTGGGCGCGAGCTGTGGTGGATTTTGTGTCAATTTAGGCAGTGCTAAATCAGGTTTTCTGCCTTGTACCTTTTCCTGCTGCAAGTCTAATAGCTTTAACATCCTACCTTAATGCCAAATGCGGTAATAGGTTACTGCCTCGCTGTCATGTATGCTACTTTTTATTATGTCTCTTCCTCATTCCCTTGTCCCTACGCTCTGCCGTAACCAAAGGAGGCTTCCAGACATACCTTGAAACTACATTTCCAGGTACAAGTTATGTGAGACTTCTAGATAAGGGCTGCACCCGCTGACCCTTCCTTGGTCCTCACTTCTCTGGGAGATGGGCTTGGCTCCCTTGCGCTTGACATTTACAGCTTGTTCGGTGTTAGACTTCATTTGGTGAGCATTAATTCCTCTGCAGATGTTAGTATTCTGCTGATCCTTCAGGACAGCAGCTCAGATCTGACTCATTTCACAAGTGGCTGGTGGACTGTGCTAAAATGTTTTTCTATTTAAATCAGTGTACTGCCAAGGATGCACATCACTGGGAGAATCAACAACTGCCAGGGAGAGACTGAAGTCTTGAAAGTCTTGAGGCCCTCCAACCAGTAGTTAATTATAGTGTATTGGAGCCAGTGGAGCGGTGAGAATTGACTCTGTGTGAAGATGTGTTGTAGGCAGCTGCAACTCGTAATGAAAAATGTGTCTGTTTGAGCAGCGGCGGGTCCCGGGGACATCTCTGAGGAGGCCGACGGCTGCTGCTCCTGTACCTGTCCCGCATGATACAGAAGAATTTCTGGCCAGTGATGGAACCCCTGGGGTCTGCCAGCAGCATGGGATTTGCTTATTAAGAAGGGGAAAAAAGGGCAAATGAAAAAACAAATATGGATAGTAGGAACCATTTCTCTTAGAAAACATCACTGTGAGCCAGAGTGTTAGGTAGAAGGGGACACGTGCTTCATTTCACCGTTTGTGCAAGGGGATAACCAAAGTTAATGATATAGGAAGTTGGTAATACAGGTGGTGATACGCCATCCCAGAGATCTTTCCTACCTATGTAATAGTACCAGGTTGCTCTAGTTTTCATTTTGTATGGTCAGTAGCCAGTGTCACACATACAGCAAAGGGCTTTCAATAGCCTGGCAAAATCCAGAGGAGGACGGAGAGGTTGCTGAGCATCCTGGTTTCCCAGAGACTCTTCCAAGCAGGTCAGGCCTTGTGTCGTTCACAACTTGATCCTCTCCTGAGGCAGAAAATGGTGCTGGAAGCAAACTGCTTGGTGGAGGTTGGCTCTGCAGGTGGTAAGGCTTTCTGGAGCTTTCCAGATGATTGTTGTCAGGTTTTGCATCTCCTGGGACCTACGTTGTTTCAATATCATTTGTAAGAACAGACGTGTCTCACTTGCATCCATCCCTGTTGCTGCTGTCGGGTCCTTCACCTCTATGAGATGTTCCTTCAGCTCGTTCTGCTTGCTTGGCTCCCCTTTCCACCTTGTGCATCAAGTACCAGCTGTTTGTCTTCAGAGGAATTAGCTATCTGTCCACACCCTCTCCATCATTTTTCTTTTCACCTCAGGAGTTCAGCCTTGCTGTTGCTGAGCCTTGGTTGCCAGCATCCCTGGCACAGCAGCTCCCGTTCAGTTCCTCTTCACACACCCTTCCTTGCTGCCCTTCCTGCTAGGCACGCAAATGAAACGCTGCATCGTCCTGTTTTGACCCTGTCTTTAAAGCTTCTTTCTGATTTTAAGCTAGATTTGAAGGCAGCTGAGGTTTGTTTCTGCTCACTTAAAATTTCTCAATTAGCATTTTAGTTCTTTTTCCTAATGACGTGCCTTTTTCTTTTAGCCTGCTGAAGGGAAAAGAAAATAACTGATTTGTATACTGTTCTTGTGAGAGATTTAGCTAATCTACCCACCATAAGTTTTCAAGATTTGTCTTGCATTTGCAAACCTGAATATTCTAAGGCATTTCATATATTTCCTGCTGTAGCTGGATATGTTACCACCACGGCTTCAGCTAGCAGGTATAGCTAATAAGCTGAAAAATAGAAGATTGTCTTTTATGTGATTTTTATTTGTTCACCTAAAAGGAAGAAACTGTTATACCATTAGGAACAAATATTTCCTCTCTTTCTCTGAGCTTCATAAAAATTTAAAAACACTTTCAAAGGCCAAACTATCCAAGAAGGTTAAAAAACAAGTCAATTATTAATTACCGGCATGTTGGGGCTGCTGCTGGTGGGGTGAATGAAGAAGTAGAGAAGAGATGACAGGAAAGCACAGGTGCTTGCTGCAGAGGTGAGTGAAGGTCAAGCCGCCAGCTACCCCCAGCAGAAAGGGGCAAAGCAAAAGGAAACGGAAAGCACAGGAAGAGAGAGGGAGGCGGAATGATGGCAGAGAGCAAGGAGGTGGGAAAGCAGGAGGGAGGGCTGTCAAGGCACATCCAGGCTTCTTGGAGCTAGGCAGCACCCAAGAAATCCTAGTGGTAGCGGAGGGGTGATGGAAGATATAAGGGGCTAGAAGAGGTAAGAGAGGTAAAAATAGAAATGAGGAGCAGGAGTAAGTAAACATTGACTGAATAAACTTGAACTCTTCTGTGTTTGCAGGAGAAAGGAAATCATTTAGGAACTCCTTCCCCCCTGAAGCTCCACTGCTTGAGGGACTCTCCTCCGTGCCTCGTGCTTTTCTCTTGCATCATGGCAAGCTTGGAGAGCTCGGGAGAAACGGTGCATCTTCTGGGAATGCAGCACTGAAACTGTTGAAAATCTCCCCTGTTCTCAACCAGAAATGTCAATGGGTGCTCAGGCTGCAAAGTAGTCTTGACACAAGCAGCAGCCCTCCTGTAGTTGTCAATCACTCACCCTATTTCTCTTCATTGTACAGGCTTAAAACATGGCTTCTCAGGCTCTTGAAATTCTCTCTTTGTATAAATGTTTACTGAAATACATACTTCAAAGGATCTTGTTGCAATAGCAGCTGGCAGCCCCATTGCTGGACTGAGAGGGAGAGGGCAAAAATGCAGTAGCAAGTGCTGCAGGAAGTCAAGCACAAGCAGGGGAAGGTGTGCGAGCTGGTTGTGGAGACAGGAGGTCACAGGTGAGCACAGCAGCCAGAGTCATCCAGAAAATCATGTTTGTCAGCGTAAGCATCACCTACCTGATCACGGGCTCTCCAATTTACCTGAAGAGCCCCTCAACTATACACGTGATGGGCAGGATGCAGGCTATTTTGCAGTTGTGATTCTTTGGAAGAGAAGCCATAGTCGGGGAGGAAGTTCTCTTTGACTAAACAGGGGGCTACTTCACTTGGTTGCCATTGAAAATGCCCTTTTTCAGTAAAAGCGAAGGGACACCGAGCTGCAGGTCCCTGGTAAATTTGGTGCCGAAATAGATTATGTTCATCTGATTTAGCATGTTTGAAAGGAAGGAATGGAGAGAAGATGGGCAATATCTACTTCTGTTTAATTGCATTGCTTTTATGCAGTTTAAAAGCCTTTTAGTCTAAGTGCAATATGATCAAGTGGCATTATTGTATTTTATAAATTGGTTATTTTAATAGGAATTTTCAGAACAACAGAATGGCCTGCTAAAATGTTACCTTTCCCTTCCATTTTGGTTTTCATGCTCATTTTTGTGCTTTTGTTGAATTGAAAGTTTTTGCAGTGGTTTTGATCATATTATGAGACTTGTTTTAAGTCCTGCCTGCACAAGCCTTCTGGGTTGTTCTTGCAGCAGAAACTTGTAGGAGAAGACTTCTTGCAGCAGAAGACTTGTAGGTTGTGGGCTAACAGACTCCATGGGTGCAGCGGGAGGAGCCAAGTGATACAGATACCATCTTGCTGCAGGAGCTCTGCCTGCAAGTGCAGTGTAGAAGCTGTGAAACAGCAAAGTGCTCCCATCACACAAGATAAGTGGAAGAGAATGAACTGAAATTACAAACTTAAACCTTCCGGTTGTGGCTAAATCATGGATGTCTTTCACCTTTTCAATCTGAGGTTGTATTGTTCCGTGTTTGGAAAGCCCGCTGTTACAGTTGATGACTTTCTCTGATTCACTTTGAAGTTTCTTTTATTTTGTTCCTTTACTCTATGTAGTTTTGTAATATGTGGGTTTTTGAAATATTGGCTGAGGTTTATTAGAGGAATAGAGGTTTGTGCTCTGCATTTTGTGGCTTAATCCTGGACTATTAGAATTATGTTGGATACCAGGTCAGATCAAGTACAGTTTATTGAAATTAACTTCCTTTGCAGCTGGTCCCTGTGAGTATCCAAGGATATAAATAAATTGGAATAAACCAACAGAAATGCTGGTTGGCTGCTACCCATCTAAGCTTATGCCATATGGAGGTTTTATGATGAAGCTGAGTGATCACTAGTGGTGTCTCTTATCATATCTAGGCTTCTTATTTACTCCTGGTTCCTTCCTGACTTAAATGAGTATTAATCTTAATCTTATGCAGTCCGCAAAGTGTATTGTAGTTAATTCTATTTTTATTTTGTAAATGCGTGTTTCAGTACTGCTGCATATTGCCAATGTCCAGACCTTCTGGAGCAGAATAGAGTACACTCTTACAACGGGTAAGATACATACTCCATGTTGAAGAGTGAAGCAAATAATTAAATGTTGCTGAAGTAAAGACAGGTTTTGGCAGAAAAGACAATGCTCTGTTTTTAAATGTCGTGTATGTTGCTTTTGGGATACATGCTGAGTTAACCTCATTGAACTTTTCCCCAGGAATTGATGCGCTTTCAATTGGCGGGTCATTATGCTGCTCCACCTGTGTAGTGTTAAGGTCAGTGTGTTTTTCTGATTATAAAACCCATCCATACCATTCCATTATAAATCCACTACCATTCATAATGGAATGTGCCCAAGCTCAGAGCTCGTTGCAGCTGCACCCGGTACACATTTAAGACCAACGAAAGCAGTTTAGGTAATTTGGGAACCTTTCCAATCAAGTCCAAGCTTCATTTGAAGTGATCTTTTCTTGTTTTTCTGTTTCTGTTTCGTTTTGTTTTTGAACCTCCCTAAGTATCCATCTAATGTCAGTGTTGTTCTTGTTTTGTGTTTAACATGAGAATTTTACTGAACATAGTAATTATGATAAGATCCTAGCAAGGAGGTCCTGGGAGCAGCAGGCAACAGTGAGGTTGCAGTTGCACGCTAAGCCCAGAATGCATCAACCACTCACCTTCACAAGGCACTTTCCAAAACCTGCAGCTTTTAACTTTGATTTAACATCCACACACAGAATCAGCCATCACGAGAGACACCCTAATGTGTGAGTTGCAGGAATGTGACTAGCACTAACCACTTGCTAGGGGAATCTGCGAGGTGACGGATGTGCATGTATATAACCCACTGCTGCTCTATGCATCTCTCTGCACAGCTTAGTCTTCTAAATTGCCATGCATTATCAAAGAGAGCCAGAATGTGCATCAATGCTTATCTACTGTTATTTCCATCACTGAAATGTTGCTGTGGTTGGATTTTGATTGTTTGTTTGCTTCTACATTTTTCCTTGTTACTAATCCACCAAATAACTCTGTGAAGAATAAAACCTTTGTGAACAACCGTGCATATAATAGGTGATTATATTCTTCCCTGAGGATTCATGAGGATGTATCCTTTCTGCATTAAGTTTTGTGCTCTCTCATGGTCAGTGAGAGCCTCAGACACTGGCTGTTTTGCTGGGGCCTATTTTGGGCCTTTGTGTAGATTAAGCAGTGCTCTAATAGCTGAGGAAATATATGCAGCCTCTTGATGCCAACTGAGGACTTCTGTGACTGTATCCAACAGCGCTCCCTCTTTCAACTCTCTGTCACTGTAAACACAGTGCTATTCCACGTGAAACATAGTGTGGGACTTCCCCAGAAGTATGTGCTAGGTAGTGCACACAGAAACCCAGAACGTGTTGAAGAGTGATGGGAGGAAAAAAAAAAACCCAATGAAAAGCAATCTGTGAAAATTCTTATGAAAGCCGTTTGCCACTCCTGAAGACTGACATTTTCTGAATTGAGAGTAATTTCAATTTTGCAACTATTGTATCAGGTAAGAACATCTCCAGAGGTATGCAGCGATTTCTTTCCATTGCTTTGAATAAAGGATAATTGAGTTAGGCCATAGACCAAGGACTAAACGATGTATGCCCCAAAATCCCAGGAACTGTGGTGAAATGCTTGTAGAAGGCAAGAGGGCTGGTGCTGCAAGTAGTGGTGAAGAGGGAAGGTGGGGTTCATTAGAGGCTTCCCCCCCAAGCAGAGAGCTTCTCTCAGAGGGAAGGATGCCTTTGAGAGCATACCAAAATGACTGATGTGACTGATACCAGTGGGATTGACCACAGGTGTGTTGGTGAAGCAAGGAGTGCAGTATATCCATGTAACTTATCCGGGGAAAGAAAATAGATCTGACTTGGAACCAGACTGGAACCAGAAGTATCTATTTGACATCTTCTTTTTAACGTCATTTTTAGTAACAATCTTTCCCAAATATTGCATAATTCCCTCTCTTACTGCTTGCTGGTATCTTTGGGCCCTGATGTAAAGCAAGCAGGAAATGCTGGATACTGCAGTAAATGCCTGCAAGCAGCGTCCTGCCAGGAATGGGCAGCTACCAGCGCACGAGGAGGCCTTCATGGGGAAGGAAAGTAACTGCTGCTGGAGGAAGCCGGCTCTGCTGCTGTCCCTGCTCGCTGCCCTCCAGAGGATCATCTCCCTTAGCTTCCTCAGGTCCTTGCGCTGAGAGGGTAACTGTGCTATGGCCTGTGGGAATCAAACAGAACCATAGAATCACAGAATCCTTTAAGGTTGGAAGAGACCTCTAGAGATCGTCTAGTCCAACCCCACTGCTCCAGCAGGGACACCTAGAGCACAGGGCACAGGGTGGCATCCAAGTGGGTTTTGAAGATCTCCAGAGAAGGAGACTCCGCAACCTCTCTTGGCAACCCTTTGGCAAAACAGATACGTTGCAGTCTTCGTGTTGACAAAATCAGCTAACTGAAAATTCAGTCTTTGGCTCAGGTTCTACTATAGTCCCCTGTGTCTGAGGAAAAATAGCCACTGTATTGTTTTCACTTTTTTTTTTTTTTAATTGAAAGATTTTCTCCACTCCTTCTGCCTTTGTTTCCGCTCTTCTCTCTTCCTGTTTGGAAACCAAAACAACTACTACTTTTTAGTTTTTTTCTCATTTTTGGAAGAAGTTGTGGTTTGCCTGTCAATCTCAGAATGAGCTACTTCCAGAAAAATAAAATGGATGTATGATTTTAATCTCCGGCAATGAACAGTATGTACCTGCAAGGGCATAGAGGTGACATTAGGGAAAAGCATGTTGTTTGAGCTGAATGTATATATTTGAGAAAAATGCCAGTATGTGTAAGCAGTGGGAAGAGTTGCAGGTACCGTGTGAAATCAGACTATTCACAACCTCTGTTTTTAAGCACCTAATTTAGTTCATTAATTTAGTTTTTTCTGTGTGGTCAACATAGAAAAATCATGCTCCTTCAGTTGGTAATTCAGAGCATCCTCTATTCTCTACTGACCATACAAGTAACGTCAAGTGCGTAGCCATTTAAATCAGGCACACAAATTTCAGAGCAGCCACAGGCGGAGGGGAATAAAAAGCTGGAAACGCAACAGAAAAACCATTATGGTAAAATAAACATGTGTGTCTCAGTAAACTTTATATTTTGCTGATTGGTTTCTGATAAATGAACTGACGTTGTTTATAGAGGTATTAGTGCTGTAGTACACAGTGGTGACACTAGTTCCTACAAGATGTTTTTGATTGTATTCCAAAGGTCTTCTCCAGAGGAGGCAAGGATCAGCGTCTTTCACTTTTGGTTTCAGCTTGGTCCTTCAGAGACCAGGGGAGAGAGTTCCCATTTAACCATCTCCTGTAAAATCAAGAGATGTGCAAGCTTTACGTAACATTCAGTCAGTCTGTGACCATTACAGCTCACATGCTCTTTGTAGTATTCTGTTTGCTTATATTAAGACATGGTCTTATCTTCTAAGGAGGAAAAAAAAAAAAAAAGAAGGAAAAAACCCCCACTTAATTAGTTCATGTGTGGAGATCATCCTTTTAAACAGACAAGTTAGTTATGGAAAAAAGATCTATTAGTGTTACTAATCCAAATGTTAACAGAGAATCGTGTTCCCTGCAGTTCACTTAGGATTCAATGTACAGGAAATTTTGAGACCTGCTTTTTCTGAGTGGTTCTTGAGCAAAAATGAACAATAAAAAACTAAATCACTTTTATCAATTGTTTTTATAGACCAGCAGACATAGGTAGAAGCCCCAGCTGAAATAGGCAGAAGCCCCCAGCTGAGCTGAGCAAGGGGGTTGGACTAGCTAATCTCTGGAGCTTCAACCTCAGCCATTCTGTGACTCTGAAAATTTTTTCCCAGCCAAAAACCTTCCCACGTATCAAAAATGCAGCATTTTACAGCTCCTTTGCTATGAACTGTGCTTTATGCACTCCCTAATAACTAAGGAGAAATGTAAAGCTTGTGTACACGAGTGTGCTTTGGGCTTAGCAGCTCTTCTCAAGTACTTTTTGGTAGACAGAGAAGTTAACAGACCCACGCAAACCCAACGGACCGCAAGAGGGGAGGCGGCGGGGAGAAGTGTTGACATGGAGGGAGCGCCACTCCAGGCTGGCAGAGGTGGGCAGAGCTGCGCCGGGAGGTGGGCAGCTGCAAAAGCCAGTCCTTGCTCTCCTAATTTCTTTTTAATTAGAGGAACATAAATACTGGTGAAGATGAGAGTTATATCTTAATGGAGAAATTAAGAAACAGATTAATTTTTGGCACAGTTCCCTCTTCCTGTTTACGTCAGTGCCTATTTCCAGCAGCACTTTAATTGCGGGAGCAATCCTCCGTATTTGCTTATTATCCATGAGCCTCGTAAGGGAATAACGATACATTTGGGAAAGCGCAAGAGGCAGAGCGGGCGCCAGCAGCAGCTAAGGCGGGCGTTAAAAACAGCACAGTTGAACAACACTGCTGCTCACAAGGAAATCTGGGGGTAAGTTTGCCCCCTTGCCTCCCTGCTGCCCAAGTGGAGGGCCGGGACCGTGGTTCTTCCTCTCTAATGAGCCAGTGGGGCCGGGTCTGATTCCAAGTCTGCTGAAATCAAGAGCAACCTTCTCATCAGACTGGGGGGTGCTGAGGTCACGTCTCCATCCCCACGTGCCGAGGCTGTTGGCTGCAGCAGAAGAGGCTCTGCTGGTAGCAGTTTTGATGCTGCTTTAAAATCTCTTGTTGCTGTACCAGCTGTCACCAGCTTTACTTTAGGCACTTAGAGTTGTATTTGAGATAAACCATTTCATAATTTTGGAGGGTAAAATGTACATCTGCTTTTAATTAATATTTAGGCTTTCCGCCACTGCATTCATAGCATTTTGCAGCTTTGTCTTTGCACGAGATGCACAGATATTTTGATTTTGATGTGCACTAGTATTTTAATTTATTGGGAAATTTTACAGCCTGTTTTCAAAATGTAGCCCATTTAAAGCCAACAGAAAACTTGACTGAATAATTCCATTAGTTTTTGAGATGCTATATGATAAAAGACTAATTAAAACCAATGAATATTTAATTTGATTAATCCATCTACAGAGCTGGTTGCATAGTGAAAAAATTATGCTATGATACACTAGGAAAGCTTTGTCAAATACATTATCTCGAAGTCCTATGTGAATATATTCTATAATTGCATTGAGATTTAAAAAAAAAGAAAAATATAAATGAGATTTTTCTAATGTACCTAGCAGTTTAAATTAGTCTGTTTTTT